GGTGCTTCGACTCAGCAATGACGGAGCAGGGGGGGCAGGCACCCAGCAGTTCTGCAAGGGCCTGTGCTGCTGGGGGGCAATCCCCCACCAGGAGAGCCCCTGGGCACGGGAAGGGGCCCAGCGCGGTGCTGGTTGGGGTGGGGAAACTGCAGGCAAGCTGCCAGGCTGGCAGCTCCGAGCCTGACCCTTGGGAAGGGCTGAAGGGAGAGTAAATACTGGCGCTGCCCACGTGGCCCTGCCGGGAATGTGCTGCTTCAGCAGGCAGCAGCTTGCCTTTTTTTATCAGGCAGCCTGTGCCGGAGCCAGCAGCGGCTCCCAAGCCTGCCGGGCCCCCGGGCTGGGCTGCCGCGAACAAGGCCGCTCACAGCACGGCCGGGGCAGCTGCGGAAATATTTCCGAGCTGCATTTTCCGCTCGCTTTCTCTGCAGAAGGCAAACACCAGCAGCTCGTAAATTCACTGACGGAAAGCACTGGGTCTCGCTGCTCTGTGGGGCCAGCCCTGCTCCCGGGCTGCATGACAGCCGTGGCACTGGCCCTGCTCCACGTGTGACACTGGGGGCTAAGGGATCCCTGCCAGCCAGGGCAGGACCCGGGAAACAGGGCAGAAATGCCGCCAGCTGTGAGCTTCGTGGGGCAGCCAGGAGACATCTCTGCACCTCCCAAATTGCAGACCGCGAAGAAATAACATGGGCTTGGCTTAAACGCAGTTTCTCAGTTGCAAAAATGTGTCTCCCCACCAGCACCCCGGCCCGCTGCATGTAAAATGGCCCTGGGCGTTTGAATTGCCACCCTGCAGGCCCCGCTGTGCCCAAGGTGGAGGCTGGCTGTGGGGATGCACCCAGAGGGGACAGGGACAGGGCTGGCACCCATCTCACGTGCCCTGGTACCCGACCCTCTCTCTGCTCCATCCCCGGGCAGGATGCAGACAAGCTGGCTTTTGGTTTCTTTCCCAACCGCGTCTTTTGTGTGTGTCAGGAGCTTTGGCACATATCTTCTTCCACATCCCAAAGATCCCCACCCCTGTGCAGGGCAGCGGCTTTGACCACCCAGACACACCTCCACCAAGCCCTGCTTGAGAAGAAGAGGAGGAGGAGAGAGCCCATGAAGGCATAAATACAGCCCCCGAGGGAGCACAGCGCTGGATGCAGGCAAGGCCGACGCATCCACCGCAGAGCATGCCCCAGGCTCCCAAGAGGAGCTGCTTTCTTGGAAAGGCAGGTTGTGAGTGGGATGACTCAGGTCAGCAGCTCTCGCTGCCAACCCAAACGCACGGCCCGCCTGCATTCCCACCCTGCGGGAGACGTTTCCTGGGGCCGCCCCTCTGGCTCCGGGAGCAGGAGCACGGGAGGCAGCTGCGGGGAGCCGTGCACC